AAAGCATTTAAATGGAACTCTTGTTTGTAAGAGTGCTTAGCTTTTATTGCACAATGAGTGTGAAAGTTGAAAAAATTTGTACATACAGTTTCCACAAATATTCCGTCCTTCAAGACTTTATTTATTTGTTATAAGAACTGTGATAATTTTACAAGTATTAGAGTGCATTTTTGATTTTATTTCTATTTGATTCATGATATACTTTGTATGTAAATATGTATTTTTGTTGATTTAAAAGATGTCTTTTCTAATAAGTGCAAGTTGTTAGATGACAGCCTTTCATCTGTATTTTCTCAGAAATTATTTATTTTTATTTTATTTTATTATCTAACTGTGATTTGGGTGTGCCTTTTGTTCTTTGTTTTCTAAAGTACAGTTTATCTATGTATTTTTTTAAAACAGTTTAATATATGAACCATTTATTATTGCTGTAAATTTCACATTTAAAGGATTCAAAGTTGAATAATGACCATATCTTCTTAATGTTTTGATTCAAAGCATTGAATGTTAATTACTATGATGGCTTTCTGTTTATCATTCTGTACATCTTACACAAGTTGTGATTAATAAAATATCTCATCAAATTGTCTTGTTTGAAATTCAGTCACTTGGAAATTATTGAAGGAGCGAAGGGTTTTTTTTAAGGAGGGGGGGGGGAAGGGGGATGTTTTACAAAGTCAGTTGTTAAGAATATTTTATGACATTTCAGACAATGATCTATAGAGTAAAAAGAGGGGTATACACCCCGTGCACACATGCATACACCCCGGACACAACATTTGATTTTTCGTCAATATCCTTAGATACGAACTGTTTTATTAACAGACAATTTGTACAAACGTTTATATTGTAAACATGTATTTAGCAACAATATAAAAGTGACGATAAAGCAAAGCTTTGTCCTGATATTCGATCATAAACACAGTGTTGTGTCAATCTTGCTCCGATCCTCGGAATTGTGTTGAGGTGTTTGATGAAACTAGAAGGTGTCCAGTGGATTCATAGGTATCCATATACTCCTTAGATAATGCTTTCTTCCGTAGGTATATATGCTTTGGCGAAAAATATCCGTAAATTGAGAAAATGGACAAAGAACCTACATTGACCCCCTTTCTCTCGCTTCGGAAGCATACACGTCGCGCACAACATAGCATACACCCCGCATGTTGGGATATACATGGTGAAATCTGTATTGAAACCGTATTTTGTCCTTTACATAATAAGATAAATACTTGTTCATACTTGTGTGAGTCGCCGCTGAATACAGTAATATATCTTGAACTGATAGCAAGCACTGATCGAATACATTAAAATTTAAAAATAAACTACAAGTAATGGGGTTATCTATTTATTTTACAAACCGAAAGTAGGACTGGCCTTGGTGATTTCCTGCAGTTGAGGATTCTCCCTGCCGGTGACACTCAGCGTATGTATGTTCTATACAGTTAAATTTAATTTATTGTTCTGTATTTGACATTTACATTCTCGTTAGTATACAATACAGTTCTATACAGTTAAATTTATTTGATTGACATAATGTTCATACTTAATAGTTATACCTACACTTGAAAATATTATAAAACGTGTACATACTGAAATATATGGTAATTAAGATATTAAGAACCCGTTTTATACAAAAGAGCAATATTTTCACATATTAATATATGTGAACTGGTCATTGTTTATTTTAAAGTTTATTTGAAAAATTCAAATTTTTGTAGAGGACAATACCGTCATAACAATTTACATGCAAAAATATATTCAATGAAAATTACGTGTGACAAATACATGAAATAGTTTATATATAATTTTAACAATGCATGACACTAAAAGTCTCTCATAAAATGATACATTTTTCATATTGTTTAGTTTTAGAAAAAAATACATTGAAATCAGCAAGTAAAGCTTATATACTTTATGTAGAATCTTCTTTGAGTTACTATGATATTTCCACAATAATTTCGACCAATTTATTAAAGCTGAACACGACTCGTAAATAGGCATAAGCCATTTTTGATAGCATTATCCACGATACATCAATACTAGTGTATAGTACTCGTCGCTTTCGTTACACCTGACTGCTTTATTGTCACAGGTATCGGCGTGGAATGGCGACCCGTGTTCGTGCTGGTTATCTTGCATTACATTTGTTTATATTTTATTGCAGTTACGTTTATCTATGTTGTTTGTTTACTGCATTGACTTATGTACCTATAATTATAAATTTATTTGGTATCTTACTTTCCTGCATTAGACGAAGTATTACGTTCTTATTCCCGTGACCAAGCCCTGTATAGCATACGTCCGTCTACACCGATGTCCACTGATTAAAGCTGACATGAACTCTTAAAAAGGCATCAGTTTTCATCTTTGTACGACTTACTACATTCCTGTACGCCTTTGTCCGCCATATTTCCTCGATTCCGCCATATTAAATCGAACATTTTTGGCCACCTGTACCTGCTATATATAGCCTTTTAGAACTGTTTCACTTCAGTGATTTTCTATCCTGGCTGTCGACATGTGCACATCTCCGATAGCAAAGTTTTAAGAAGTCCATAAACTGACCAATATACATGTTTGAAAAGTAAAAATTCATGAAAAACTAGAACTATACCGAGAATTAAATTATTTTTGAATGCATTTGCTGCAATATAGAAAATACACTTACACGGAAAATATTCAAGTAGAGCAAAAATTCCATGCAAGTCAGTCGAGAAAACGCGTCAAACTCAGTGATAGAAATATTTACCTGAATACTGCTATCGTTACAGGGATGTGCACATGTCGAAAGAATTATCCTATTTTACTTTTATTGAAAAATGCATCTCATAAATCATGTAATCCATTGCTAACTCAACGGTAAAAAACTGCTTGGACACACGTGGCCCATGCCGATCAATTTATTTGGTCAGGGAAAATATCAAAGGTTGAAAGCGCCGTGGGGTTGACTGAAGAAAAGGCAAATAATTTTTTTTTTCAAGAATAAACATTACTCTTGTCTGTAAATGGTGTAAATAAAATTTTTGAAAACATGGTTTAACTTCATCAAATTTATATTAAAGTATGCATTATTACGAATCATTCACCTTTTGAAGATATGAAGACATTTTCCTGTGAAAGGGGGGGGGGGGTAATAAAACATGCATAAAACTCTCATAAAATTTTTTTAAAAGAAAAACGTCTGAAACAGATCGGATCTCTTTATGATAAAATATTTACATTTCCAATGTCTTTGTCTGAGATAAAATAACCAAATGTAAATGTAATTGATTTCCTCATGAATGTCCTTTGGCGCGGTTCCAAAAAAAAAACACGTGCAGGGCGGGACAACACCTAGAGAAAAGCAGGCTTGGAGCCCGTGGATTGGCGGAATCAAAGCATGTAAATATAAGGAATAACTGTCAGATTTTTCAAATTCATGAAGATGATCAATGGATTGGCTTGTGTGATAATTTTATGCATAAACGCCTTCGGCGTTTATGCAAATTATCACACAAGCCAATCCATTGATCACTTCATGAATTCGAAAAATAAGACAGTTATTCCTTAAATAAATACTGTATATTGGCTTTATAAGACCTAATATAATTTGATTTAAAGTTATTTATAATTCTATGCTCAATGAAAGAAAAATTGAGCAAATTCACATACCCCACGCTCCCACATAAGTCGAAGTGCTGAAATTCACAGAAAAAATAAAGGAATCGTAATTTTCTTGTAAAATGCAAATTTATACACATTGTGTCCTATATTATCTGCTAAGTTTGACGAAATTGTATGCACCGGTTTATGAGGAATTGTGCTGACAAACTGCTCATTTTTATATACAAGATATGGCCAAAATCTAAATGTAAAAGTGCGGACATTCCCAAAAAATAAAGATTTCAGAATTTTCTGGTGATGTACAAATACAGACACATTGATTCCTCTGAATATCAGCATAGTTCAACAAAACTCTGTTTATTAGTTTAAAAGAAGTTGCGCTGACCAAAAAAAATGGGCTGACTGATGGGTCCAAAACATTTTACCTCACGCAACTTGTTGCAAGGGGTATACTAAACGAGTTTGATTCTGTGGTACAATGATAATGAAAATAGAATTTAATGTGAATTAAATTTCTAGACATAAATAATTAATAATTTCTAGAAAAAAGCAGATAAAAAGAGAGAGGACCCCCCCCCCCCCCCGCGTGAGAATTCCACATTCTACCTATAGCTTTTTGATTGTTTGTTGTCCAGGTTCAGTTTGGAGAAAAATTTTGTTACTGAAGTTCAAACCTACCCAACCCCATTTCCCCCACACGAAATAGGATATTTGTGTTTAGGAAAAGGACATTTTCCCCCTTTTTTAAGCTTGTCAGATTTTTTGAATGTATAAAAAAAATCTTTGTACTTAGCCCCCCCCCCACTTTCAATTTCCTTCCGAAAATATGTACATTGCCATTATAACCATATGGGCGGCGAGGGTATCATTTAGTGAGCTCATTTCTCACAATACCTCTAGTTTCTCTTTCAATTTGGCCGTTCGGATTAACTTCTCGTTCAAATTAAAATTATTTTTCAATTTATGAAGTTTCGAAATCCCGCCTGAAAAAAAAACCTTGATCTGTCCTGAGGAGGGGAGAGAGAGAGAAAAAGAGAGAGTTAGTTCAATGTACAAATAGTAAATAAAAATTATCCGTATTCAACCAGTGTCAAGACTCCCTACCTTAGCTTTTAGAATTATCTCCTAAATACTCCTACAGAAATTATTTCTAAATATAAAAAAAGTAGCTAGACTATCAGGCAGGGATACTGAAATCTCAAAAGCCTCTCTATAACACCATAATTATAAAACATTTATACATACCTCAAAATGCACATACATTGTGGTCGGAGTGACGCATTTAAAATAAAATTTTCAAAATTAAATTTGGCAGAGATGTCCGTCTTCCAAGAATATTTATGTAACGGTCATGTCAATTATTTTTACCCCCCCCCTCCCCGCCTTAAAAATCAAATGCCTAAATGTCAATCTGAACAGGGGATGGCATTTCTTCGTGTGTTTGTGTGTTAAAGAACGTATAGAACTATGAATACATAAAAAACATTATTCTGGTTAATTGCTTTTAAGATTTGAAGTAAATAATTGCCGTACATCAAATTACTAGATTTGAGATTAGTACTACAAATATCAGTTATAATTGGCAAATGAATTTTGCGATGCAAACCAACTGCAGGTATCTGAGAGAAATATGGCAGAATACGGCTATCGTTGGTATGAAACAAGTCGTACATTGATGAAAATGTTGCGTTTTTAAGAATTCATGTCAGCTTTAAACTGAACAGTCTCTAATTCTTGGCCTATTTATATGGGTCTGCAGGGTAGCGAGTCTCGGGAACTAAAATGGCGGATACATTTCTTTTACCAATCGTCTTCAGCTTTAAGTCAGGAACAATAGCGGGCACTTGATTTGATTGTGAAAAATCAATTCGAAACTAGGAAAATGGAGGAGGGGTGTTATTTTTGACAGCTCTGTACCTGTACCATTTATATTTTGGAAATTTTGGTACCGCCTATTTGAAAAGCTTAGAAATACAAATTTAAAACAACAATTAAGAAAATTTGAAAAATCAAAGATGTTAGTAGAATTTAAGACGTAACTATAGAAACCGATTTGTTACTAATAAAATGAAAGTACATACATGAAAGAGAAATACGACAATACAATGATCATGGAAACGTCTTTTTACTTACTTGTGTCTTATAATTACAGAATATACATCTAAATGGATCACATACCTCGACTATCAGAGGCTGTGTATGTAGGACTGTGTCGTGAGGTAGGGAGTCCTACAGAAGTGAGGATCAGGAGAGAAGTTCAGGACGCTGTGGAGGCGGTGAAGAAACCTGTGTACATCATGAAAGGACTTGATAGAATGAAGAGTGGGAGTCAACGTGAGGGATTCAGACTGAAGACTTCAGATGAAGATTACATGTTATGGCCTCCAGACCACAAGGTGATCTGTGATCTCTCTCAGATCAGTCTCTATCGTATCCCACAACACACCGTTATCATGATGGAGTGTGATGATTTACCACCGGGATTTACCAGACTAAAGTTGATGAGTCCATCAAATGATGAAAAAATCAGATCCTCCTGTGTAGAGATCAATGATAACGTGTATATATCTAGTACATTATTCCGCAATAATCACTTAAAGTTCCTACAGTCTTATAATTTCGCCCCTTCTTCTAAATCGCATGGTCCTTGTGCTACATATTGTCAGGATGGAATAGAAGCAGATTATGCATTCTGTTTCAGATCCCATCACTGGCCCTCATTAGCTTTGCCATGGATACAAAGATGTCATCAACAAGGTTGGCCGTCTAAGACTGTTTTATCAGATATATTCAAAGGAGGATTCCATCTTGTTCCTATAGGCAGCACTGTTGAAAGTATACTAGAATGGAGAATTTCATTCTCTTTGGCGGAACAAAAACTAGTTTATTCAATGAACCACACTCAGTTTTTATGTTATGGTCTTTTAAAAATGTTTTTAAAAGAAGTGATTAATTCAAAGGAAGATTCACCCATTCTATGTTCATACTTCACTAAAACTGCTGTATTTTGGGTAATTCAATACAACAGCTCCTTGACTTGGACACCTGAAAACATTTTGCCTTGTTTCTGGGAATGCTTTAAATTATTAATATATTGGGTATTTACTGGAGAATGCCGGAACTTTTTTATTCCACAAAACAATATGTTCCGATTTAAATTAACTGGATCAACACAAACATCATTGTTTAATAAGTTGTATGAATTGTATTGCAAAGGTATATCAAGTATATTACTGAGTGAAACGTTAGGACTGTTTCTCAGTCAAGCCATTTTACACAGATCATTGAGAGTCTGTACTGACGAGAGCAGTATCATTTCTAACACTGAACTTGACATTAGTTTATTTGAGGAACTCCGTGCATATAATCAAAGTGTTTCAAGTGCTGTAGAATTTGCAGCTCTCATGAAGAACATTGAAATAGAGATAAGAAAAAGGTTGACCCCATACCAGGAGGCTACAGTACAAATTATGACATCAGACATATTACGTAACACTGCGATGCTGAAACTGTGTAATGTATATCAACATAAAAATCGTAATAAGGTTTATTACACAGCTAATTACGTATCCCGATTGTTAAAACTGTCATGTACATTAGGTTGTGTCTCAGATATTTTATATCTTGCAATGTATTATTACAAAACATGTAGATTTGAACAGTCACTTAGTTGTTTGCAAAAAGCTCAGGACAGAATGACAAATCCATGCATCATATATTGTAATCATGTAAATGTAGATATGTACACACGCTGCACAGTGGGGATGTCTCTGAATCATAAAATGAGAATCGCTCTAGTTGTAGCTATTGTGTTAATTAGTGAGTACACATATATTGATGAACTAATTCTAGAGCAGAAGACCAGTAACGAGAATGGTGAGCTATCATTATTTATCCCACCTCTAGTGATGTTACACATGTTGTTTACACTGAATCACCACAAACTGGGTGACAAAGTCAGGTCACAACAATCTCTACAGGATCTACACACTCTGCTGCTGTATGATGATGGGGTTTATGTACGTGATAACCTCAGAGATATTTCGTGGCAAATCCTGGGAATCTGTCAACAAATCTGTGGGGAATTCCAGGGAGCTCTAGAATCTTACCAACATTCGTTACAACAAGATCCATATCACAAGATTCAGGAAGCAACGCTGTATAGAGTAGGCACAATTACTCAATGAGTGATTTGTAAATATTTCCATTTCTAATTTTTTTCTCTGTGATAACTCTCTGAAAGTTTTGGGAGTATATTCTTGATAATTCTGCCGGCATGTAAATAAGGCAGGTCGTAGGTCAGCAGCTAAGGAGGCCTAAAACGCATGCAAATCTCAAACCTGTCTCTCTGTTGACGCTAACAAAATATGCATGTAAATCTCATATCTTTGTGCTTGACATCAGTGTGCAAGACTATTCAAAGTGGCAACCTCTTTAAATCGATTAGTCTACATTCTTAATGTCTAAGTATAAAATTTTAATTCACAATGAAATGGAAATTAATCACTTTTATTTTGAGTATGCCATAATATTAGTAAATAACAGCCCGTTTAAAAGTGTTGATGCCCATACTCTCAAAACTAGACAGTGATTCCTTAAATAACAGTTTAAAAGTGGTTACAACACATCTATATTTAGCATTGCAATTTTTGAAAGTGGTATTAAATGTTAATAAAATAATAAATTCCATTTCTAATTTGAAATTTTTATCATTTTCTTTTTTTAATTAGGTTTGTTAAATATGTAATATTTTTGTTTGTCTTCTTTTTCATGACCTATTGTTTGAATATTATTTCCTGTGTAATTAATTTTTTTTAAATGTATGACGAAACTCTTATCCCCCCTTTTTTAAAATAAAATTGAGCAATGTTGAGAATAAGAACGGATTTCATGCAGTGTTCTCCATAACCTTTGTTAACATCATTATATAATAAGGTTAATTGTAATTAAATATCAAGCAACTTCATTTCTTGCTTGTTTTTCCACTGGTCTCTATGTTGTCACCTGGTCCAACCTCTGAAGTTGGTGTACTGGTCCAAGGAATAGGTATGAAATAAATGTATGATAAATATCATTGGTAAATTAACTTTTAACAGGCAACATTATTGGGAGGAGGGGGTCTTTTGAATTTGCTTTGAAATTCTATTAGCTTATCAAATAATAATGTACTACAATCAAACTTTTAATTAATTTATTATATTCAATAACTTTCAAAGCTTCACAATGCTTTCATGATTCTTTCTTTAAAAATATGATAATTAATTTAAAAAGTATTATCTGATAATAGTATAAAGTGACCATCTTATTAAGTTTTTGTAGCACCCCTCTAAAGCTGTGTGAATTCATAGAATGTCTTTATGTCCAATGTAAGAAAATTTTCATAAAGATATACAGTTTCAGATTCTGAACCAAATATCAAGCCTAGGCAGATATTTTAAGTTTTTGATCTGTTTATCCCTGATTTAATGTTGCTGGCGTATAACCTTACAGAGAGATAAGATTAAAGCCGAAAAAGCGCGACAAGAAAAAGAGAAAGCTGAAAAGGGAAAACACGAAGAGCAGGTAGAAGAGTTATCTCCCTTATTTTGTTGTTTTGACGTTGTTATCACCCTTTCCCTGATAGATCTATATATAGTTATCCTCTGCTTTATGCTCTAAGCACACATACCTCCCTGCTTTTATGAGAATTAGATTTTATTAGAGTTACATGTAGATTATAGACAAGTGAAGGGATACCAGTTTACTTTTATTTTAGGTTACATGTTTTACTTGCAGGCTGTTTTTAATGTTAAAATGTCTGCAATATTAACTTATGACATGTCTTTACATATTAACAACATGGTGTGCTACTATTTAGTGTAGTTTGATAAGCTAATCAATAAAAAAAACTGTTCAAAATAGCTATCATCTGTTTGTCCGTTAAAATATGTTTGTCTTACACTTTAAGTTAAAAAAAACTTACATATAATTCATTTCCAGCTAAAGGCCCAAGCAAAAAAATATATTATTAATAAACATTTATATATTTATATACTGAGTATATAAAAAAGATTCTTTTTTCAACAAATATTTTTTTTTTGGAAAGTTAATGCTACTATTTTATTTACAATCCTCCACACCTCTCTTTAGTACTTGTATTTCTACTGTGATTCACCTTACATTACTATACATACAGTTTTTTCTCTCTCTTTTTGGTTTTGGCATTTCAAATTTCAATATTGTCAAGTTATTTTGAATTTGATTTTTTCTTAATAAAATTTTATGTTAATTTTGTTTTAAGTCCATGTTTGTGACTTTTGTTAAAGTTTGACTTTGACAATTTACTTTTAATACTTGTAAGAAGATTTCGTTTTCAAATGCTCATTGTTAAAACTACATGTATTTTCATAGAAAATCATATAAAATTTATAAAACTTCAAAAAATATTTATGAATACATCTGATGTTGATTGAAAACTCTAAAGGCAAAAATTTACTGAATTCAAATGTGTAATTTGCGAGTTATCTACCCTTACAGGAGGATGAGGAGGGTCACCAGTTGCCTCTCTTATTTATCACGGAGTTTGTTCTGGAACTTAATACCCATTCTCTGTAACCACTTAAACTTTTGTGGCACGCATAGTCACAGATTTTTTTCAAATTTGGCTGGAAAGTACCACGTCATAAACTACTTCAAAAAATATAGTTGGATCATATGAATGTTGGGTAGTTACCATGGAAACGGTGTCTAAAGTTGATTTTTTCTGAAAAAATGCAATATTTGGGAAAGTTTTTTAATGAAATGCGGCTACTTCAATTCATGTTACTAACAAAAATAAGAAATTTAACATCTAATTTTAAAAGGCATGTTAAAACCTTGTTGGTATTCTCTCTATAAATATGAGAAATATTTGATTAAAATAGCAGACATTAACTTTGAAATTGAATTATCTCCCTTTGATAATTGTGGAGCTCTTCAGTGAAAAAGATTTAAAAAAGTCATTGCACAAAAATGACTGGAAGTTGTTTACTTATTGTCAGCATACACACGCAGCTCTGTATATCCTGGAAATCAAGTAAAATCAACTTTCTTTCCTGTTTATTTCATGTGCTTACAAATTTTAACCTCTGTTTATTTCAAAAAGAATAATTTTGCTCATGTGAGAAATGGTAAATGTACAAGACTACACTGTACATAGCACAGGAAATCAGCTCTGTACATAATGATAAGCCTCAAGGACTTTGGTCTAAGGGGTTTCAAAACGGGATTCAAGATAAACTTGAAATATCAGAATTACTAGTATTATGAATTTGTTTGTTTTTTTTTTTTTTTATAAAGAATTATTGTGTCTCACGATCAGTCAGAGTGATGTAATGCAGGACAGCAATGAATATTTTTTAAATGTGAATGTGATTAAAAGAGACAATTAATCTTTTAAAATTGAATAATATGTCCTTGCAATTGGCTGAAAAGAAAAAAAAAATAATCTGTTTTGAGTAATAGCTACAATTCCCATCCACGGGTCATTATTTCAGTACCGGTAATAATTTTTGAAACCCACAGTATACATGTATAATACATTTTATGGTTAAAAAATAGTTACCGATATAACCCCTTCCCCCACCCACCCCTACCATAATGAAAAGGAGTTCTTTGCTCTTCAGACTTTTTATCTGTTAGAAAGAAAGTTTGTTTATTGTATATTTGTTTAATGGACGTTGAGATTGAATACTGTTCGTTATTTCCATATCCTTATATTAATAATTTTCCCTAAAGATCATCTTGGAAATAAATAATATGTCCTGCCATGAAAATAAACCAACTTGAAAAAAATTGCCCCCTCATCCCTCTGGATCAAAGTTCTTCCCCTAACCCATAGTAAATGCAGTCATATTATGTAGTTTTTAAACAGGATAAACAAGTTAAAAAATGTTTTGTTAACCAATCAAAAATATACTTGTGATGATTGGGGGAGTTGCATGGAAATGCAAATTTTTCTGAGAATCAAATTTAAAGTTAACAGTTTATCATTTCTCTGGACTTAGATACATAGTGATTTAACCTAAAAGCAGTACAATTAATATAAGATCTGTATAGCAGTATTTTATTAATGATGAAAATAATTTTCTGACCCCCCCCCCCCAAAAAAAAAAAATTACAATTTATCAAATGCACAAAAGCAGATTATTTGAATAGGTCCAGCAGATTTTACAACAGATTGTTATTGATTGAACTTTGGTAGATCCAGACATATTTGAGTTGAAATATTTTGCCATCAACATCTCTAAAATCGCATTTTTTTAAAGAATGATATTGAAAAGTAAATTAGAATTTTCCATCAACTTCTCTAAAAAAAAAGTCTCTGGAAAACACATTTTGACTGTCACTTGAACAGTTCGGACGGTTAAATATGGTTTTAAAAAATGTAAATTTAGGAGCAAGGAATTATTTTACTATAACAACAAAAGAGTCTTTACACGCTTGAAGCACAATTCTTTACGTACAAGAAAATGGAGTTTATATTCGTTTAATTTTCTTAATTGCCTCCCTTTTTATACCCCCCCTTGAAAACCGTACTTTATAAGCATTTTCACATTATGCATCAAGCTAAAGGGAGAATGTAATACCAGTTTCAATAAAATACATTTAATATACGGGATAGAAGTCAGGATACAACATTACAATGTCAGTATTCCGAATACCCAATATAAATACATCATTAACAAACTAATTCAAGAATATGTGTCCCCTTGTTAGTGAGATAAGAATTTGTGTAGATTAAGAGGGGTGGGATGGGGAGGGGGGTGTCAGAGTGTGATGGGGGTAGCTATAGGGGATGGGACACTTAAAGAGGGCGGGCGATTCGAAAGGGAGTTATGATAAAAAAAAAGCTTACCTAAATGCTTTCTGAGATATCTCTCGGAAATGAGAGGTTTACATGCTAACAATTTTTTTTTTACTTTGACCTCTTGACCTAGAAATAAATAGGGGTCTTTTTATGCTAAAGCGAGTTGTGATATAAATTCAAATTGAAACAAGAGGCCCACGGGCCTTATAGGTCACCTGAGCATTATGCAACAACTTTCCAGTTACAGTGTATTGAATTTGATTCATGTTTTAAGCCAGATGCTATATAGCATTCACAATTTTGAAAGAGGCACCATTGATCATCATAACAATACACTTAACAGTTGCTTAGCTTGGTAACTGAATACCCATACGCAGGGTAGGGGAACAAAAATGCACTCCAACTAATCAGTAATATTCAGCAATAATCAGTAGTGCCCCTAACACATGAACACTGTGACATAAACCCCTGACCCTAGGTCCTAACATTGCACAAATTTTTAAAAAGCACACTTAAAATTGCCTATTAAAAAATAAATAAATGTTTTATAAATAAAAAGAAGCAGATTTCAAACAATAAATTCATTTTCAGTATATAAGAAGAGCCCCCACCCCAACCCCTGACCCTGGTGCCTTAAAATACCCAATTCTGCAAGATCAGGGCACTTGCTCATCATTACTACATATGTATATAGGTAGTTCATCTACTTCATACCCTGAGACAGAGAAGAACATTTTCAAAGATTTAATGAATTTTCACTATATAATCAATAGAACCCCACCCCAACACCAGAACCCTTGACCCTGGGACCATAAAATTCACAATTTTGGTAGAGGCACTCTTTCTCATCATAACTTTGCACTTTGTTTATTTAATTCCAATAGGAGCAAAGAAGACGATTTTCAAGGAATTCATGTATTTTCACTATATAATCAATAGAGCCCCCCTCCCCCCAACACCAGAAGTCTTGACCCTGGGGCCATAAAATTCACACTTTTGGAAGAGGCACTCTTTCTCATCATAACTATGAGCTTAGTTAGTTTATTTAATACCTAGGAGCAAAGAAGACGATTTTCAAAGAATTCATGTATTTTCACTATATAATCAATAGACCCCCCCAACACCAGAACCCCTGAC